TAGCATTTAGAATGGAATTTTAATTTCCTGGAGCTAGAGAAAGTACTTCCAAGGAAGATATAAGTGAAGGGATAGAGATAAGAGATAGAGATAGAGTGTCTTAAGAAAAAGGATTCTTAGGTCAAATAAGTTTGAGAACCTCTGGATTTCCTAGAACTTCTCAGAGACTAAAGGCCAATAGGCATTGTCAACCTTCAAAAGCAAGATACAGTGCATATATAGCATTTTACAAATTTTTTTGAGCTTCAAACCCCTCCTTGAAGAGAAATTTAGAACTGAGGTTCTGTAAAATTCTTATTAAGGAGTACTTGTCTAAACTGTTCTCAAACTTTAGAGATTTCTTTCCCCATACAGACATCAACCCTAATCTTAGAAATCTCCAAGGAGAGTCTCAGACCCCATCTGTAACTCACTCCTGACTCTCACAACCTTCATAGATGAGGAGTGCTCCTTGTGCATCTTATGTAAATAGTCCTATGGCAAGTTTAGTCTCTCTCATTCTCAAGGAATAAAGAAGTGACTTTCTAAAAGGAGGACCCCTCCTAAGCCTCAATTCCATTATTAAACCCAACTGAGTGTTCCACCCATGGCTATTGCTATGAATTTTTCCTTCAAAATCCTTTTTGTATCAAGTGAAATGCACACCCTAAATCCCAGCACTCAGGAAGCCTAAGGATTATGAGTTCGTGGGCAGCCTGAGCTACACAGCAAGACTCTGTTTTGGTTTTTGTTGTTACTGGGTTGGTTTGTTTGTTTGTTTTTAAAGATTCATTTCTTAATTGATCTCTGGCTGTTCTCCACACTCTTCCAAGTTTCCACCTTCACCTTCCGCTGTGGAAAGCAGAATGAGTGCTTGCCCTTCGGGAAGGCCTGGCCAGCTCCAAGCTGGCTGATGGAAAATTCTATGGGACCCATTACACAGAAAGCTGAGGAATTTGACCCAGTGAGAAGACTTCTCTCTTCAGAGAAAGACTGACTTGATGAAGACTAGAAAGTAGGGACAGAAGGCAAATGCCTCAGGCAGGCTGGCCCTGCTCAGGTTAGAGTTCTTATAAAGCACCCTCCTATTGTGTGTTGTCTGGTGGTTACAGTAAGCTGACCTTTGGAGCAGGGACCAGACTGGCTGTGCGCCCATGTGAGTACGACTGTGCCAGTGACCAGGGCAAAAAGAACTGTTACTTGTCTATGAGAAAACAGGCAATTACAGCAAACTAGTCATGTACAAAGCACTTGTCTTCCATTTCTACAAGCTGTCTTAGTTACTGAAAATGTTCCCATTTCTCATATTGAAGTCAGAAGTGCCAAGAGCTAAATGAGTAATGGAAATTTGAGCAGAATAATTTCCGGAGATATAAAAAGAGCTCCAGATACTCAATGCTTTCAAGCGAAACTGATAATATCAGCACCAGATAATCTGAACATTCAGGAAATTAGCTAAGTGCCCTTGGGGGAAAGAGATGAGTTAATGGCAAACACAAATTCTCTTCTATTGCAGCAGGTAGTTAAACTCCCTGGGTTGGCTAATGAGCATGGTCGGGGGATAGCTGCTCATAGGGACTTCTCTGGAGTTCAGTGGAGTCAAGAGCCCTCACCCAGCAATAAAGGTGGCTCATCCCCTCTGTGAATGGCAGGTATACCTCAAAAAATAACAAGGTTTGAAGGCAGAAATTAATAGGGGGATGACAGACCAAAGGTAAATTCTGGCTCTACCTTCACCAGCTGTGTTCAATAGTCTCCACTCTCAACAGCAAAAAGGCAATGACTACCTTATAATGAGAGCTAATACCCTGCACATAACAAGCCATCAATAACTGATGCCTTTTCTAATACATTGCTGTTATTGTCATTGACTTTGCCATGATTTACATTACTGTAAAGGAAAGGGGGCATAGCTCCCTTGAAAAACGGGATTTACGAACCCAAGACCCAGTGGGTTCCAGCATACAGGCATCAGGAGTATTATTGCAAAGACCTTACCCGCAGTGGGGGTATAGCAATGGTAACAAACTAATCTTTGGAGTAGGAACCAGGCTGAGAGTCCAGCCAAGTAAGTAGAGTGGGGCAAGGGTGGAATGGACAACTATTTCTTCTTTGTCCAAGATACTGACTTGAGCCTAAGTATTTTCTTCTGTAGAATCCCAAATAGGTCTTTCTACCCATCCCCAGAAAATTCTTTCGCCCAGTACTGAATGGGTACTTTATCTTTTGAGATCTTAGGAATCATGAGATAGGTGATAAGCTAGTGGTCCTGGACCTTGTATTGAAGAATCCCAGATATTGCTGCCCTGACCAGGGGATTTTGCTCTACTGAATTCTACTCAAGTCATGCAACTCATACGAACTCACATCCTCAGCCAAGACACCACAGCAGAATTGGGCAAGAGAAAAAGACTATGCATGCCAGAGACAAAATTACACTGCAAAATAACAGAAGGTCTAACTTGTAGAAGTGTGATTCTCCTGACTTGTGGGGAACCAATGCTTCTCCTGTTTGAGTAGTAGGTAAGTCTTGTGAGTTTCAGTAATGGTGTCACCTGCAGTGTGAATACTGGAGGGAATAACCAGTAAACTCACCCTTGGGAAAGGGACCCAACTGTCCGTATTAACTGGTGAGTCATCCCAGGCGACACCATTTACAACCTCATGGAGAAGTGTAATTATTCCTTTCCCTGGGGATATCCATTATTACTGTGGCGACTTACTGTAGGTGTTATAACTAACTGTCATACAAAGATCTGGTAAGGGAAAAGCATCGCTATCAATCTTGAATATCTGTGCTTCCCTAGGTCAAACACATTGAAATTTGACTTTAATCATTCAGCAGATATTTTTAAATGAATTCTAAATGGCCATCATTCTGTAAAATGTTATGAAGAAATCTAAAAATATGAATCCCTGACCTGTCCCCAGTGTAAAGACTAGCCAAAAGTAAGAACTACTGTACATCTAGAACTTGAAAACTATTTTAGTATTAAGGATTGATGATATCAATAGGCAGATTCAGAGGGGCTAGGGTCCTAGCAGAAGAGATGCCCTAGATGGAGGATGTTTCATGTATGTAATAGAAAGGATTTATTGAACCCTAAAATATAGGTAAAATCTGTATGGGCAGAGAGAAAGAAGTGGCAGTCCAGGCATAAGGAACAAGAAAGAAGGTATGAGCTTAGGGACAGACAAGTTAAATGCCTTTGGCCTAAGTGAGCACATCCGATAATGAGGTTGGATCGACACAGCAAGGCAATGAAGGTGTCTTCTTAGACAATGGAGATAAGGAATACTGCAGCCTTCTAGAAAAGACAGAAAATAGGGCCAGGCCAGCCACCCGGAAACTGAGCATCCAATTTGGAAGTGGAGACCAGCTGTGAGGTGAGAGGGACCAGCTCTTTCCGTGGCTGGCTCACGAAGTAGGGACTTCCCTCTCCTTCCTCCATGGGCTCTATGATAGGTCATCCTACCCTCAGAGGAGGAGAAACCCAAAAGTTTCTATAAGGAAGCTTTGGGAATGATATCAAGGTGTTGGCTCCTGGGTGCAATTTGGCAAAGGCACCAGAGGTTCTGTTCTTCCCAGGAAGTCTGCCCACACTGTGTCCTGATGCTCTCTAGAGCCTCTGTGGGGCTGAGATCAGTGTTGCTAACTCATTTCTGGGTTCCTAGTGCTTAATTACAGAGCACAGATTTAGTGGCAAGGGAGCTTTCAGTCACTGCCATGCCCCCAGGGATGTAAAGCACTAGAGCATTCAGACCTGTGCTGCTGCAGTTAGCTTTGAATTATGATGACAGGTTAGGATCTACAATAGCTGAACTTCCTGTTGAAAAAGTGGCCCAGTCTTGATAAGGCTACCTCTGTTATCATTGTTGGTAGACTATGTTTTTCTTGCCAGGGTGGAAGAGGATGTCTCTTCCCAAAGGGTTCTGGCAGATGGACCCCTAATATCTCCAAATTAAAAGTGGCTCCACATCTTCTTTCCAGGGGGAAAAAAAAAAGATAAAGTACATGGAAATGGAAGTAAAAGAGGGCTAAAAAATGTAACATACTTCCAGGGCAACCTTATCTTTTTGTCTGAAAAGGAAACATCCAAAACTCTGGATGTCTGACAGTGGAGCCCCTTGCTTGGCTGCTGCAGGGCCAATCCATGCCGTGGGCAGCTCTGCCTTGACTCAGCATCCCAGGGTCCAGGCCAAAGTCTGATTTCTTTGGTTTTGAATCCAGCTGGATGTCTGCATTGCCAAGGCCACCCTGGCTGGCTCAGCAAGCAGGGTGCATGGAGGGGGTCTGAGAAACCTTGTGTGCATAGTGAGGAGCTGTGGGAGCAGAGAACCACAGGGGCAGGAAGTTCTAATCCCAGCCCTGCTGGAAACTCTGGGTGGCCCCAACCTCAATGTGTTGATCCTCCTGGCAAATCTCTGCTTCCTCCTCTAAAGGCAGAGGTGGGAAAGAATAAACAATGAGCATTGCATTAAAAACACAAAATCTTACGGAAATACTAAGGACTGAATCTCAGCACTAAGGAAAAGCCTCCAGTGACTCCTGTATCCTGGGATGGTAGACAGTATGGCCGTGTGTTACTCAGTAGTGTGTTTTCTTGGTAACACCCTGGCATATCAATAGCTCCAACTACCACCATCTGTTCAGTACTGTATAATTTATTAAGAATAATTTTATATGAAGGAACATTTATTTGTTTCTCAGAGTAGCCTGGATAGAAAGGTGGGTAGTAAGGCAACATCTTTACAGGTGAAATTTCTGAGCCATAAGGAGCTGGTATGACTTACTCTAGGCCTTGTATCTAGTAAATAGCCCTGTTTTTCTAGTTTCCTAGAATGGCAGGCCAGGAACAGCTGGTTTCTAAAATGTTATTTTGCATATAAAGCCTAAGAATGAGAGTGGCCAGATCCAGAGAGCCCAGCTCTTGTCCATCTCTGGCAGCTGGACTCTGGCCTAGGTTGGGGCAAAGAGGGAAGCAAGAGCATCACTTAACTCTGGTCCTCTTGATCCACAGACATCTCAGACCCTGACCCTACTGTGTACCAGCTGAAAGACTCTAAATTCAGAAACACCTCCATCTGCCTGTTCACTGATTATAAGTCTGGAGTCAATGTGTCAAAGAGCACAGACCCCGAACTGTTTATCTTCGAAACAACTGCGCTGGACATGAGATCCATGGATTCCAAGAGCAATGGTGCTGTGGCCTGGAGCAACAAAATTGATTTTGAATGTTCAGGTGTCTTCAAGGAAAATGCCTCCTACCCCAGCTCAGGTCAGTGCTGCCCCAAGACCTTTGCAAGCTGTCTCCTCTCTTCAGGAGAAGCCTGGTTCTGCCCAGAGCTTAGGTCAATGATGTCCAAAAGCTGCTCTGGTTGGTGCTCTCAGCTTCATTAGTTGTTGTGAAGCCCTCATCCTCTTTTTACTAAGGAGCCGTGACCCCACCCCCCATCCTGATAGTCCACAGAATGTCATGAGCAAAAAGCAAACAAGAGGTGCATGGGTGGTTCAGTTGTAGAATTCTCACCTGCCAAAGAGCAAACAAAAAAAGATGGCGGTTGAGGGCATTGACCCAGTCTCAGGCTCACCCACTGTGAATTTTCACCTCCTGGCCTTTGCTCAGGCTGTTTGCCCCTTCCTGTTCTCTCAAGTCTGGCTCTAATGCCCTTTTTCAAAGATACTTCCTTCAGGGCTGGTAGAGTAGCTCAAGGGATAGAATGCCTGCCTAGCAAGCATGAAGCCCTGAGTTCAAATCCCAGTACCACCACCAAAGGAAAAAAAAAGGTTCTTCCCCTATTTCTGTTTGCCAAAAGATCTTTCCCAGCTCCTAATATTTTTTGATCACCCGTTCACTCAACAACCATTGATTGGGTAGGTACAGTGTACCAGGTGCTGGAGTGGAAAAGAAAACAGCTCCATTCTAGTCAGGGAAGACCAGAAAATCTAAGTAACTTCAGATTGTAATTAAAATGTGCTTTAACTCAGGGTTGAGGAGAGAGCTACTTTAGAGACAAAAGCCAGGGAAGGACTCAGAAAATTCCATTCAAGCTGAGAATTAAAGGATCAGAAAGGACAGAGAAACAACCTTATGGAGACCTGAGACAGGAGCACCTTGAGAATAAGAAAGACAGGGAATGAGTTGAAAGATGTAGGCAAAAGCGAGATTACATGGCCTCCTGGGCCATGAGAGAGCAGATTCTATTCCAAGCACACTGGGATGCGCATTGGTTGTCTGAAAGCAGGAGAGTAACTCTGAATTTACTTTTTTAAAACACCAAGCTAATTGCTGTGTGGGGAATGGATTGTAGTCCAAGAGTAGAAGAAGAAAGGAAGCAATTGCAGCAGAGAGATGATAGAGGCCTGGCCCAGAGGGTGGCAAGGGAGTCAAGTGGCCAATGCTACTTGGGTTTCAAAGGTAGAGCCATGCAGAAATGAAGACAACAAGACATTGAGGATGGTGGCTGGACTCCATGCCTGTGCAACCAAGATAGATAAAACAAAGGAACAAATTTGGGAATCAAAACTTTTGGAACACCCGAAAGTATCTATCCCCCTGTGGCTCTTGTCACTGTGCTTCGGTCACTGCCCCATTTGACTCAGGACTGGAACTTAACCAAGGACAGACTCTATGGTGATGGTTCTGTGTGGCCCACGTCATACAACATGGACTTTGCACAACCAGTGTTTGTTGAGTGAATGAAATGGTGCCCAGAAGCTAGGGTGCAGGTCCTGTCAGGGCCAGTGACTCACTCGAGTAGGTTCCCCTATGCAATATGTTCTCTCCAGATCTCTCCCCAAGGAAGCATGGAAAGATTGGTAGACATTCACCTTCCCAACAACCAGGAGGTCTGGATGGGAGCGTCAGCATGCTCTGGACTCTAAGACATTTCTTTGTTTCTCATTTTAGAAGTTCCCTGTAATGCCAAGTTGGTAGAGAAAAGCTTTGAAACAGGTAAGAGAGGGGTCTATCCCAGCATTGCACAATGTTGGGAAGGCAATGAATTCACAATAACTCTCATGGAGAAAGGAGGGCGGGTAGGGGATCTGAGAATGGAGTTAAGAGGAATGAAAACAGCAGTTCAAGACCTGCTCTGAGCTGCTTGTGATCTTTCTTGACTCCTCCACCCCAGCATACCTAATTTTCTTTTCCATTCTAAGTACTTTGAAGTTGGGGCTCCAGTTTTACTAGGTCAGTGACTCATTCGTAAGCCTCTGTATTACTTTCAGTCGCTCCTCTGTCAGGAGAGCCAAAGAGAGCTGCTGGGCATCCAGCTGTGACATTTCTGACTCCCTTTCAGTATAGCCCTGAATTAACCAGGCCATCCTGAGAACACTTTCTCTCCATAGCTGGGAAGGGGGGAAAGGGGAAGAAGGATGCTTTTTTCAAGAAAAGCAGCAGAACTTATAGGCTTAGACAGAGGTCCTGTCTTCAAGGACCCTGACCACCTACCTCATTTCCACATGAGCTACTGAGTCATACCTCCTGTGGTTCAACCACTAGTCTCAGTAAGAGGCCCAGACCAAACAGATGTGGTGACAAGTTCTGAGCACCCACTCCATCCCATCTCCAGAGGGGCTCAGAAATAAAGTAGGACCAAGTCAAGTTGATGTTTTTGTTTTGAAACACAATGCCATTGACCTGGGGAACACACAAATATGTGTGCACAGCCATGTGCATCGATTCAGGAGCATCAGTTTCGGGGAAGGCCACTGGTGTCATGAGGAGCTGTGCAGACCTCTGACGTGCACACCCATAACGGCTGTGGCCTCTTGGCTTTACAGATATGAACCTGAACTTTCAAAACCTGTCAGTGATTGGGCTCCGCATCCTCCTCCTGAAAGTGGCCGGATTTAACGTGCTCATGACACTGAGGCTGTGGTCCAGCTGAGGTGAGAGGGCAATAAAGATGGGTTAGGAACGCAGCTCTCAGGGTGAGTCTGTAAACTCTGGCAATCCTCCCCACAGGGATTTGCTTTTAAATTCTAAGACTGGGCCCACACAACTCTTCTGTTCCTTCCTGCTACAAGTTCCTGTTGTTAATAAGAATGGCCTGAAACATTTGCACAAAAAATACACTCCTTTCAGCCTTCTCACTTGAGCCATGTCTCCCTTTGAGGTATGAAGAAATTATTGTCCCTGTTTTAGAAATGAAGAAAGTGAGGCCAAGTAATACCAAGGGCCACGCAGCTAGTGAGTGGAAGAGTAGAGAAATTCTACTCCCCCCAGTTCCTTTCCTCATGTCTTCTCTCCCCAGCGGGGCTCTCTTGGCTCAATGTGAACAGACATTATATTCATTAACCCTAATCCAAACCAAAGTCTCCATGCCCACATCCCACCTAGTGTCCCCTGTCATCTTGCACAGTCTCAAAGAGAGCCATCCCTGTCACACCCCTAATAGTACTAGTCCTCCTCCATACCTAGACTGACTTCTGCTCTTCCTCATTCCAGATCAGCCAGATTGTAAGAGGCCGAGCTCCCTTGCTCATTCCTCCTCATTACCCTTCTTCCCCATCTTCAAGAAGAGAGGTGCTTCCCATCACCATGGAGAAGGCTCCCATCATCTCTCTAACCCCAACTGCCAATGCCACTGACTGGATCCCATCCAAATTTGTGATGAAGATTGCTGTAGAGCTGCGAAGTACTGCTGTCTCCCCCTCTTATCACTGCTTGCCACCATTCAACAGCAAAGGCCAGGGGCTGTCACAGAGTCTCCTGGCTGTGAAGAAACTCCCTGCCCTCCCCCAGAGACTACCTATGTGGTCCCATTGGGTGATGAATTCCCAGTGGAGTCTCTTGGACCCTAACTTCTGGAGAGTGTTGGGATGAGTTCATGTTTTTTAGTAGTGTTCATAAAGAAATACATATTACTTTTTCTCAAGCTGTGGGGGGAAACTATCTCATTGCTACACTATGTATCTGAGCTATTCTGCTGCCCATGACTTCATTAAAAGTGATTTAGATGAGCAGAGACTGTGCTGTCTGACTGGTTTGGTGGGGGATATTTTCTGCATGTAGAGAGAAACCAAGGCATGTGTGCCTCATGCTGTCCAGACTGCCCAATTCAACAAGCTGCTTTAACCAACCTTTTCTTGGAATGACCTCTAAAAAATTCCACTTAGCAATCTATGCTGAGGGCCAGGAAAACCCTGTCCAAAGTTTGGGCCCCTGCCCTTCCATTTTCATGCCACACCACCAGGCCACCCATAGCTGGAGGCCCACACACATGAATGGTAGCAACCTGTACTTGAATTTGGCTGACAGTGACCACACAGCAAGTGTCCCCAAAATCCCACCCACTGTCTCCTGCACATGGAGAACATTTGCCTTTTCTTTCAGATTAGATTTCCACTAAAACTGTGCACTGCCCCACAAATTCATGGCTGGGAATCACCTGCCAATCTGCTGCTTAGGTCCTGGCCCCAGGCCCAGCTCGTTGAGGTGCCCAATCTAGGATTAGGATTGGGTACAGGTTTGTCCCCATCATCCTGGACATGAGAATGAGGAAAAGGGAGATGAGCTCTCCCCTTGAGTCAAGGATTCAGCCAAGGAGAACATATGTCTCAAGCATTCACTTCAGGGACAAAAAGTGGGATTCCCTGGGTCCCCATGCACACTACTGTCTACCCTCAGCCTCAGCTTGTTCTCACGTCTTCCTCCAGGGGTGGAGACTCGATGGGAACACAACTCAGAGACCACTCAGCCATCCACCTAACAACTACCTGACAAAGACCAAAATTGAGTGTTTAAAAATTCCTGGGGATGGGAGGGGATTCCTTCCCCAAATACTTCTATGGTTCATCTGACCACACCAGCCAGAAATATGCAAATCCTTCTAGCTGCAATTTAGGCCTGCTTTTTTTCAAAGGGATAGAGCTACCAGCTTTAGTAGGTGACCTAGGGCACATCCCTCCCTCTGCTAGTTTCAGGGTCACCACGTATGAAAAGTCAGGACTGGAAGCTCCCGCACATCTCTGATTCTATGGCCCATGTAGAACTAAGAATCAGCACCTAATTCCCTGATCAGCTCTACTGAGGGTATTCACAGAATCTTCGGTTTTTTCTAAGCTGCCTCATGGTCAGCCTAAATAAAATCCCTTTGAGATGACTGAAGGGCAAGGCCTCAGTCCCTCACACATGGGAAGACAGGCACTTTCCAAGGTGTCAGGGTCCCTCACACATGGGAAGACAGGCACTGCCTTTCCAAGGTGGGATTTGCCACCGCAGGAAACTCCAGGAGGTCTCTTCCTTAAAACTGCCTCCTCTGACATGATGCCAGAGATTCTACCACTGGGAATTTCTTTTAATTAAAGCATTCTCTTCCCTGTATTAAATGAAAATGCCCCTGGGAGGGTTAGTAGAGCAAGCCTTTATCAACCGCTAAAAACTCAGGGCAAATTAGTTTGTCTCTTTTTTCCCCTAAAGTAGTGATTCACTTTGTTCTGAGATTAAAAGGCTGGGGAGGCAGGCCTGCTGCTGAGTTGACTGCAGGTACACTGAGGCTAAAGGGGCACAAGGGGCTTGGGCAGGGGTCCAGAGCCTGGAAGGCAGTGAAGGCACCAGACAGACCCCTCCATGGAGCTTGGAGGAGACTCAGACTGAGAGAGGCCTCAGGGAGCCTGTGGAGTTAAGCTACACCAGTACCCACAGATGCAAGGACCCAAAGGTCACTGGAATCCTAAGACTGCATGAGGACCTAGGTGAGGTGATATGGCAGGGATTGAGGTCCACCACATCCATGGAAAGGGTAAGTCTTCCTCCTTCCAGGCCCAACACAAGCTAGGAGCAGAGTGATGAGGCCTTGTGTATGCAGGAGGCCATCTGGAAAGCAGGATCAGCTCCACTCCCCCTGAGAAATTCCCATCCAAACCCAGTCTTCCCACATCCCAGCAAGAATCTTCCCTTGTGTCTGAGGCTGTGAAGTCCAAAGCCAGTGGAGGCTGAGATCAGGAGGGCAGACCAGGAGCCAGTGGGTTGAGTGTGCACAAGTATAGGGGTATAGGCAGAGACTGTATCCACTCAGTTCTCAGGTCTGGCTCCGGGGCTCATCTGGGATGTCAGCCTGTAGGGAAGCCCAGAAGAAGGGCTTCTGTGTCCACCAGAAAGGTCAGCTTGGGTCTAACACCACCACAGCAGAGCCCCTCAGTATGGAGGGCCCAGCTGTAAGAAACTGGGCATTATTTAGAATGGAGGGAAGAGGCATCTGAGGAAACCTGGTGACGTGGTCATGAAAAGCCCCTGTCACTGTGAGCCAGGGTCAGCTGCAGCCTGCCAGCTTGGACCCAGCCACATAGAGGGAAGGCTGACATCACAGCAGTGAATGTGTTACCAGGGCCTGCTGTAGAATGGATTCTTCTGGACAGGTGCTCTACTGTTCCCAAAAGCTCTGGAAGCAAAAAAAAGTGGACCAAATGATCTCTCATGACCCAGGCCTACAACTCTGGAAAGTTGTCTGAAATATCCTCAGAAACATGTCCTCTGAGTGTAGGTAGTCACAGTACAGCAGGAAATAGGCCAGTGAGGCAACTGTGTGCTTCAGGATCATCCACATGGGGTCTTCAGCTCTGATCCAGTAGCCCCTCTGCTGTTACCCTCTGTAGGAAAGGTAGCCAGCCACCTGAGTTGTAAGTCACTCTTTGCTTTGTTTAGGTCTGGCTTGGCTCACCCATATAATTCAACTTCCCTTGGGCCACTTGTAAAGCCTTGATACAACCTTGTATCAGGTAACATCTCAGCCAGGAAGTCCACTCAACTATGTGTTGCTTGGGACAGGAAGTGTGTCTCGTTCATCAGTGTATCTGCACCTGCACACAACAGATGCCACCAAATGAACCAATAAGTGATTGATTACCACAATTAGGCACTGGGGAAGAAGCTAGTTTGAGAGGTGTGGAGTATAGGAGAAAGGAAAGTGAGGATTAATAGAGGAAGTAACCAGAAGAGCAACTGTTTCAGTTTTGCTAAGAGCAAAGAGTAACTGGCAAGAAACATCAGTAGAAAACAAAACCTGAGTGTTGGTCCCTTGGCCAGAGCAGCCCTAAGGCAGTCCCTTATCTATACAATAAAGGATGGAGGGCAGTGCTCTGAGAAGCACACAGGTTCCCAGGAGTCCATGTGAGCACCAGTCACATATGACCACACCAAGGCCCGGGGCTTTACCTGTCTACTTTAGTTTCTCCACATGACCAATCCTAGACTCCATCTCCAATCTACCTCTTTGAACAACATGTGGGAAGGAGGGCTTCTCACTGAGATGGGTGAGTGTGAGGAAGCAAGCCATGGAGTGACCAGTGCTGTCATTCTCACTAATTAATATGTCAGTTGCTGGGGCAGTCCACAGGACCACCAGCCCTGCCTCTGTGTACAAGCCACGTGGGCAACAGGGTGGGCCTCTTTCACAGATGCACACATCCATAGGGTTTCCTCAGAGTATCACACAGATGCATTTTGAAATTAATAAATGGATCAGACTTTGAGCCAGTAGCCAGAAGTAGAACAGGAAGTGGAAAAAGTCTCCCACTTCCCTGCAGGTGTTTGGGCGGGCCCCCTCCCATTTCCATGATGTCATGGTTGCTGACAGGGGCAAATAGGGCACCCTTTGAAGCTCTCCCACAGAAGCCACATCCTCTGGAAAGAAGAGTTAAAAATACAGAGTTAGAGACACCATCACCTCAGGCCACGTGCTGAGAGGAGGCAGGCTCGGCCGTTACCCCACCACCCAACCACAGGTGCAACAAGAAGGTCACCAAGCCACAGAGTAGGGGCTTGCAGGCTGGGGGAGGCTCTGCCTGCCCCGCTGCAAAGAAGCCTCTCTTTGCTCCACTTCTGCTGCCCCAAGATTAGACCTTATCACACACTCAGTGCAGAACAGACCCACAGAGCTTATGTCCAGGCCATCCTCCCCTGAGCAGGAGGGATGTGACAGGCTGTGTTTGCCCACACACACAGCTGGGGCTGATTTTCCAAAGGATACCTCCCACCAGCGGCACCACACTTACTCACCCCCACTCCAGGCTGAGACTGACATGCTGGCTAATGGCTGTGGTGGACGTCTGCCTCTCAGAGACAGGAGACTGCAGGATTTTCAGGAGAGCAACCACAGAACCTGAGACCTGAATGAAAAGCTCCAGGCTTAAATGTCAGGATCCGTGGCAGTGCCCTCAGCCATCCACCTGGGGGCAGCAGCACTCCACCAAAAAAGCCTCTTCTCCCTTGGTCTGTTTATCCTGGGGAAGGAAAGTCCCCAAAGCTTAGGAAAACCTCTTTTCAAAAGAAAATAAGATGGCAGGCGAACTTCATTTCACAAGATCCTCCCTGTGCCAGTCCCTGCACCGGGATCCAGCCCTGTGTGATACTGTTGTCCCACAAAGACAAGGGATCTAGGGTCAGGCCAACAGGCAGCAGGGGGCACTACCTACCCAGGATCATGAGACCAACCTCTTCAAAGGGCGCCCAGAGAGACGCTGCCTCACTGGGAGCCAGGAGGGAGCTGACTCAGAATCAGGTTGCCTGGGTGGGCTCAGGATTCACGGCTTCACTGGCCTCGGGCCCTGGACAGGTCACTTACTGCTCACAGCCTCAGTTTCACAGTGGGAAGAGCACTCTCTCTTAGGCAGTTTAAAAACCAAACTGTCTTTCACATGGCATACCTGCCCTATGTCAGACACTGTGCCAGGCTCTGGAGACTCAGTCATGCATCACTCCATACAGATGAAGTTTAAGAACAAGCTAAAGGAATCATCCGTGATAGGTGCTGGAATGCTAACTCCCTCTAGCGTAGGAGTCTTTGGGAATGGGCAGGAGGAACCCTCGGGGGTGGTGGAAGCATTCTATATTTTGATATGGGTAATGGATACGGGAGGGGGGTGAACACGCGACAAAATGCATCAAACTTAAACCTCAGAGTAGTGCATTTTAATGTAAATAAATTCTATCTCAATAAAGCATCATTCCCATAAATGTCC